CAGTTTTAATTCCTTTAAGTTCCTATCTAGACAGTTTTAGTTCCTACCTAGATAGTTTTAGTTCCTTTTAGTTCCTGCCTGGATAGTTTTAGTTCCTTTTAGTTCCTGCCTGGATAGTTTTAGTTCCTTTTAGTTCCTAACTAGGCAGTTTAAGTTCCTTTTAGTTCCTTCCTAGACAGTTTTAGTTCCTTTTTATTCCTATCAATGCAGTTTTAGTTCGTTTTATTTTCTACCTAGACCGTTTTAGTTCCTTTTAGTTCCTTCCAAACAGTTTTAATTCCTTTAAGTTCCTATCTAGACAGTTTTAGTTCCTTTTGTTCCTATCTAGACAGTTTTAGTTCCTTTTGTTCCTATCTAGACAGTTTTAGTTCCTACCTAGATAGTTTTAGTTCTTTTTAGTTCCTACCTAGACAGTTTTAGTCCCTTTTAGTTCTTATCTATGCAGTTTTAGTTCCTTTTAGTTCCTATCTAGACAGTTTTAGTTCCTTTTTGTTCCTACCTAGACAGTTAAGTTCCTTTTAGTTCCTTCCAAAAATGATATTTTGACAGACAACATATACACAGAATGTATCTGAGGTTTTCCTGTTGATAATGGCGACATTTCACAAGTATTGCTGAATGCTTCAATATCTTCACGAAAGCGCTAGCCCGAGAAAAAATACAGAAGGAATATATTCAAAAGGAGACCCTTAAATAGCCAGTTTAATAAATTTCTAGAACTATATGAAAAGGTAAGGTCTTCTACATCGTTTCATGTAAGTCTATGTCCTAATAATGTCAGCGAGAACCGGGGTTGTCACCACGATACAACACGGGGCACTAATGAGAATACACAAAAACCGACCTTAATATAACACAAGGAAATAAAGGAGATCATGACGCGACCATAAAACGTAGCTCGTATTCTTCATCGCCCTGAATCTCTATACCTTTTGATTTAATTGTTTTAATTGTATGTCTATGTACTGTAAAGCGCTTTAGAATGGGCTATTCTAGCAAGATAGGGCACTATATCAAATGTTGTATATTATGGTCGCTTTCTTCGATCTTCACCTACTACTTGACCAGCAGAGACTGATTCCTACTAAACTTTACGATAAGCGTGTCAATTTCGATTTTCGGATTGTAAACTTACACTTTCTTGAAAGTAACAACCTGAATCAGCAACCAATGTTGTTACTTCGTCGCATATTTTAAGAAGTGACAGAGTATTATGGTATCTCGTATTATTTCCGGTACAATAAACAATAAGTGATAATTGTTGTGCATGAAATCATCACCCTTCCTGTACACCTGGTTTAACCTTTGGTTGTATGCGGTTCAGCTGGTTTAACTTTTGGTTATGTCCAGTACACGTGGTTTAACCTAAGGTTTGTGCGGTGCACCTGTTTAACATATGGTTTGACCGGTACACATGGTTAAACCTTTGGTTTTGTGCAGTACACCTGGTTTAACCTTTGGTTTAGTGTGGTACACCTGGTTTAACCTTTAGTTTTGTTCGGTACACCTGGTGTAACTTTAGTTTTGTCCGATACACCTGGTTTGACCTTTGGTTTTGTCCAGTACACCTGATTATACCTTTGGTTTTATGCGGTACAACTTTTGGTTATATCCGGTACACCTGGTTAAACCTTTGGTTTTGTCCGGTACACCTGGTTTAACATTTGGTTTCGTCGGGTACACCTGATTAAACGTTGGTTTTACGCGGTACACCTGGTTTAACATTTCGTTTTGTCCGGTACAACTGATTAAACCTTTGGTTTTGTCCGGTACACCTGATAAAACCTTTGGTTTTATGCGGTACACCTGGTTTAACTTTTGGTTAGTTCCGGTACACCTGGTTAAACCTTTGGTTATGACTGTAACATCTGGTTTTACCTTTGGTTTGTCTGGTACACCTAGTTTGACTTTTGTTTTTTTCCGGTTCACCTAGTTTAACCTTTGGTTTGGTCCGGTACACCTGGTTTAAGATTTGGTTTGGTCCGGTACACCTGGATTAACCTTTGGTTTGATACAGTACACCTTGTCAAACCTTTGATTATGTCTGGTACACCTAGTTTGACCTTTTGTTTTGTCCGGTACATATAGTTTGACATTTGGTTTGGCCGGTACACCTGGTTTAACATTTGGTTTGGTCCGTTACACCAGGCTTAACCTTTGGTTTTGTCTGGTTCACCGAGTTTGACCTTTGATTTTTTTCGGTACACCCGGTGTAACTTTAGTTTTGTCCGATACACTTGGTTTGACCTTTGGTTTTGTCCAGTTCACCTGGTTAAACCTTTGGTTTTATGCGGTACACCTGGTTTAACATTTGCTTAGTTCCGGTACACCTGGTTAAACCTTTGGTTATGTCTGTAACATCTGGTTTTACCTTTGGTTTTGTCTGGTTCACCTGATTAAACCGTTGGTTTTACGCGGTACCCCTGGTTTAACATTTCGTTTTGTCCGGTACAACTGATTAAACCTTTGGGGTTGTCCGGTACACCTGATAAAACCTTTGGTTTTATGCGGTACACCTGGTTTAACTTTTGGTTAGTTCTGGTACACCTGGTTAAACCTTTAGTTATGTCTGGTACATATAGTTTGACATTTGGTTTGGTCCGTTACACCAGGCTTAACCTTTGGTTTTGTCTGGTTCATCGAGTTTGACCTTTGGTTTGGCCGGTACACCTGGGTAAACCTTTGGTTTTGTCCGCTATACATGGTTTAGCCTTTGATTTTGTTCGGTACACCCGGTGTAACTTTAGTTTTGTCCGATACACTTGGTTTGACCTTTGGTTTTGCCCAGTTCACCTGATTAAACCTTTGGTTTTATGCCATACACCTGGTTTAAGATTTGGTTAGTTCCGGTACACCTGGTTAAACCTTTAGTTATGTCTGTAACATCTGGTTTTACCTTTGGTTTGGTCCGGTACACCTGGTTTAAGATTTAGTTTGGTCCGGTACACCTGGTTGAAGTTTTGGTTAGTTCCGGTACACCTGGTTAAACCTTTAGTTATGTCTGGTACATATAGTTTGACATTTGGTTTGGCCGGTACACCTGGTTTAACATTTGATTTTGTTCGGTACACCCGGTGCAACTTTAGTTTTGTCCGATACACTTGGTTTGACCTTTGGTTTTGTCCAGTTCCCCTGATTAAACCTTTGGTTTTATGCGGTACACCTGGTTTAACTTTTGGTTAGTTCCGGTACATCGGGTTAAACCTTTAGTTATGTCTGGTACATCTGGTTTTACCTTTGGTTTTGTCTGATACACCTGATAAAACCTTTGGTTTTATGCCATACACCTGGTTTAACATTTGGTTAGTTCCGGTACACCTGGTTAAACCTTTAGTTATGTCTGTAACATCTGGTTTTACCTTTGGTTTTGTCTGGTACACCTAGTTTGACTTTTGGTTTTTTCCGGTTCACCTAGTTTAACCTTTGGTTTGGTCCAGTTCTCCTGATTAAACCTTTGGTTTTATGCGGTACACCTGGTTTAACTTTTGGTTGTGTTCGGTACACATGGTTTAACCTATGGTTTTATGCGGTACAGCTGGTTTAACATTTGGTTTGGTTCAGTACACCAGTTTAACCTATGGTTTGTCCGGTAAACCTGGTTTAACCTTTGGTTTGTCCGGTACACCTGGTTTAACACTTGGTTTGGTCCGGTACACCTGATTAAACCTTTGGGTATATCTGGTACACCTAGTTTAACCTTTGGTTAAGTCTGGTATACCTGGTTTTTCCTTTGGTTTTGTCCGGTACACCTGATTTAACCTTTGGTTTTGTCTGGTACACACGGTTTTACCTTTGGTTTTGTCCGGTACACCTGGTTTAACCTTTGGTTTTGTCTGGTACACCTGGTTTTACCTTGGTTTTGTCCGGTACACCTGATTTAACCTTTGTTTTTGTCTGGTACACACGGTTTTACCTTTGGTTTTGTCCGGTACACCTGATTTAACCTTTGGTTTTGTCTGGTACACCTGGTTTTACCTTTGGTTTTGTCCGGTTCACCTGATTTAACCTTTGATTTTGTCCGGTACACCTGGTTTTACCTTTGGTTATGTCTGGTACACACGGTTTAACCTTTGGTTTTGTCCATTACACCTGGTGTGACCTTTGGTTGGGCTTTGTGCGGTGGTAGGATCTGGGGCGTGCTGTTTGTTGTTTTGTTCTGGTATCTCCTCGTTTACTGCTGTTTTATAGGGTTTAACGTCCTATTATAAACTTGATCAGTTCAGATTTTCTGGCCAAACTATGATGACGCTGAAGAGCCCGATTATTTCACATTCAGATGATGGTGATATTATTTTTCCTGAAAGAACATCCCATTTTTTCTCAAAGACTTGATGCTCCAACTAATTCATATTCTGTTGGTGTTTTAGTTTGATATATTTTCTTTCTCTCCATTTTGTGTTTTTAATTTTTGAGACGTGATGGCCTTACCCTTTTTCATTGTCTTGACAAGAATTGTATCACATTCCACTGTGTGATGTGCGCATGTATAGTCTCACTATTGTACCTATTGTTACAATCTGCTATTCACGTTCATCAAAATACCATCATATACATTGCAATTAATATAATCAGTTAGTTACAATAATAGGGCGACCTTTGCTTATTTTAATAATAAGATAACATTCGTGATGGAATGGTTGAGGCTGCAACGAGTACCTAGTCAATAAGGAGTTAAAAGGTCGGATACACATTTGTCCTCAGCGTTATATAGAAATTGACGCCAATTATTGTTAGCATACGTATACGTATATACTCAAAATTAAATTAACTGACATTTCAGGCTCTGGTAATCCCTATAGGTGACCGACTTCATGTATGTATACATACCAGCCGGGCACTGTCGATCTCTTATTGTCTGTATAAATATCAAATTATCAACAACTCTATCATGGACTGTATATACAGGAATTTCTAGTCACGTTTATTGGACCTTTGGTAATGTTACATTCCTTCTTTCAAAATAAATGATGATAAATCAACAAAACGCATATATTACGTAAAACATTATTTATTTAACATCATGTTCTGTTTCGAAAACATTTTAAAGCTAAATAACAAATATTAAGCAATACTTACAATATCCGTGAAGCTAATACGCGTATCTGTCACATAAAATGATGTGATATGTGACTTACATTTGTATGAGGGGCGCTACAATCACTCTGACGTCAAATGAATCGGTGATAATGCGCACGTGCTCAGCTTAACGAAACACACTTTATCTGCAGTAAAGTTACACCAAATCAGACATCACGAAAAAGAACATATTGCGAGCGACGTAATAATACGTGCTAAGGTTAATATTCAAGTTTTATACGAAAGTGAAATGAATTTTGACAGGGGAAACATGCGTTGAACATGTAAAGTAAACAGGACGAACAGATAAATGGACAGACTGACATTTGTTTTTATCGAATGTAGTGCAGCAGTTTTAGAAAAATGTAGAATGTAAGTTTAAAAGAATTACATAGTTAGTAAATTGTCCTATACAGAATTTTTGAAGAGCTCAATGTCTGTGTCTATAGAATATAGTAGTATGTATAAAATGCACCTCAGCCTGTCGTAAGATTGTTTGCGTTATCCTTATATAGGTAACTAAGGCATAGGAATTGAAATAGTATATTGGCGTTACACAAAATTAGCAAAAATGAAAACAAAATCTGATAGAGAAACTGCTAGCCTTGGAATAACATGGAATGCATTTGAATACACGTCTCATGACTACATAGACCAGCGAGGCTCATGACGATGAAATGTTCAAAGGTGACCAGACCTTACTAGTGTGGGTTACTTAAGTACAGGCGCGTTCAATATTCTGTTTCTCAATCCTACACGTGGACCGACAGGATAACTGTGGCTTGACAATATCTACCACCTTCTCACTAGTCAGATAATAACATGGTTATGACAAGAGAATGGTAGGGCTGGCAGAGATATGACGCACAGGGAGGGTGTTCAACAAAGGAGCATGATGAAAGCCAAGGGAAATCACGTGACTGAGCAAGAACAGTACACAAAATGAGGACTCAAAAAGCTTCATCAAATAAGTGAATTTAGTAGGCATTTATGTGTGATTTCTTTGAGTTAAAAAGAACAAAATTTCACGAAATTTAAATGATAAATTCAGCATGACATATACAGGAAGTGTTTTCAGAATAATCGCCATCAATGTTTCCTTTATAATTACAATGTTAATGTAAAAACAGTGCGGACAAATACGACACGAATGAGTGGACAGCTATCTCCATATGAATACAAGTGTTTCATAATTACAAAATGCGAGTAGACACATCTAAGATCACAATAATTTTATATACAAACATCCAGCAAAGTCTTAAAGCCTTGTTCTGATAAAAGATCATAGTATGCTAGAAAAATAATTTAAGTCACATACATCGTATGTAGTTCATGGATGACAAACACATATTAAATAAACAATGTATCTACTGGCAATGAAATAAATTAAAGGACAATTATATTGACAACGATATTTGACGAAGTAAAAAAGAAATAATAGCGAGTGTTCGTATAACGTGAACAGCCTCGGTTTTACGTAGCATCCATTCATTCAGGTTTCGGCCTTTTCTAATAAGTCACAGTGTATGAAAGCTCCCGATTACAAATCATAATAAACATTATACCACAGGAACCGGATCCGTAAACTATCAAAGGGGAGTAATTCTACCATTCCAAGTCGTCAGGAAAGATATTTTGCACCTTATCTTCTTAGTCCATTTTCGTGACCGTAAGAACACATGATTACATATACATTATTACAGTACGTATATTTATATACACAGTCACCTTCTCACCTAGTCTGTGTGAGAGGAGAAATCAATTCCACGAAAGTGAAATAATAAACGATGTCTTGTGTCTCTAGCCAAACTATGTGTTACTGTGTTTTTTTCAGAAGACAAACATTCCTCGAAAAACATGCACCAAGCCCCCATGACAAACGTTGGGATAGTCATCATAGTATGTTTGAAATGGTTTAAATACTTGATGCCAGTTCTGTCACTAGATGGTGCGAGGGAAGTGCCAATTAGTTATGTCACTAGATGGTGCGAGGGAAGTACCAATTAGTTTTGTCACTAGATGGTGTGAGGGAAGTACCACTTGGGTAAGTTCACTGACTACTCAGGTGAAAGACCAAGCACTCACGGTAATGGTGAAGTTGCAGACACAAAGTTGTAGGTCATGCGCACGAGACACTTCCTGCTTGTAGCGTATATGTGACGCTGTCAACTGCTATGTACAATTTTTTTCCGGGTAGTTAGTGTTGCTCTGACAGTTCCCCAAACTATACAAGGTACAGTGTGTCTTTGTCTAAAAGGTATTTTCCAATTGTGTACAAGAAATCTGCATACCAATTCACACCTTCCTGTTGGCGATGCGTTCCGTTAGAATGCGTTTGAGTCCACGGTAATGATATGTGCTGTGAAATCGTATGTAACAATCGCGTTGGCGCAAACACCACATGCGCAATTAGTTCACTATTGATCACACCGTAGCACGAGGCCACAACGTCATCCACGACGATGCTGCCCTCTGCAGTCAAGGGCGCGTACACACCGTCTTGTAAACCTATTTTTATGTCAATAATTTTTGATGGTTTTATAACTTCTGTATTTTCGGCAATTAAAACATAATGCCCTATTTTAACAGTGTCAGCGTATCGTGCCTGGAAAGAATGTAAGGTTGTTTGGTTTGACGGCGAAGTGTAAATGAGATGTTTATCAGTGAGAGTTATCGTTCTTTCGTCGCTTGTTAACAATGTGAAGAATAAACCGTTTCTCTTTTCGTCCCTGTCCAGGAATGTGATGACGTCACTGAATTGAAGAGTTCCATCTTTCGTCATGGCCAAAACTTGGTCTCCAACCTTGATGTCGGAAACGAAAACTCGCCCTCTGTCGGGCGTTTGTACAGTTCCTTTCCCCGTAAAACAGCCTCCAATCTTGATTGCAGCGGACGATTCTGTAAAAGTAAAGATATTTGATTAATAAATGAACTTTTCTGAGATGATGATAGTAAATGAACATTTCTGAGATGATAATAGTAAATTAACCTTTATGAGTTGATGTCTATGATGATGAGGATGATGGTGATGAAAGTATTTCTGAAGAGGCTATAGAGTAAATATTACATTTTCTGAGAACAGCTGAACAAAATGTTTGATTAAGTAAGCAAACGAGTACATTGCCTATTGACTTACAGTCCATTATAGGAGTAAGATTGTAATGTATATTTAGCATCGCATTATAAACAGTTGAGAGAGTTTGGAGGGGATACCTGTTCAGTCTGTCACTCGGTTTGTTTAATGAGACTCTGTATTGCTCGGTATTATGTGATAATTCAGATCATGTTGTCAAATTAATTGATGGAAGTCGTATTCATCCAAGGAGCTGGCTGTCAGATATGGCTTCTTATCAAGTACATGTTCAACACGGCATGCTCAGTCGACGGTGGTGATTACATATGTAAGGGTCTCCTACACACAGCCGACACGTCTGCCAGTGTCCCCGACCCACCCGAGTGTTTGTCCAACACTTTTCACTGCCCATACTGGTCTATAGGGGTGTATGGCCCTTTTACAAACATTCAATCAACAAGAATCATTCTTGGCCCAGTTTGAATAAGTCAAAGCAAAGTTGTGATAGCGACACATGAAGGGTATCTTCACCGCAATGTTTATGTGTTGATTGCCTAGCAGACTTTGACTTAGTTTTCTGTCTGGTCGAGGGGTATCGCTATAACAAATTCTTCATGGGTCAAGCTCTGCTAGTCCCCACCCACTGTCGTAACTTATACACACGTAATATGAATATCATCGTAATGTTATACTTAATTATATCTATATCAGAAATTTAGTTATATGCGCATGAGATATGGGTAAGGGATTAAACTTGCTTGAGTAAACTCGATGCTTTTGTATTACATTACTCAGGTGTTAAAACGTGCACTTGCTATTGCTTTGGGTTTTCAGTTTGTTGATTTAATAAGACATATAAAAGACTTATGGTGATGATGTATACATCGAAGAAGAAACAACGATTTGGGTTATACACAGGTAGACTTTGACCCTGACACAAAGTCACTCATAATCACTCTGAATCTCTGTGAAAATATGCCAACATTCCTCATTGTGTTCTTTTAACTTTTAAAACTATTTCGTTCATCCCGTGTTTCCTTCAGACAGAAGGATTCAGAACGCTTTGTGGAATGTTAATTTGCGTGTAAAAGTATGGCGAAATGTACCATTAAAACGCGTCCCTATTTCCCTGTCGGTGCACACTGGTAAGGTCGTGGTATCGGGATGATCATTGGCCAACATCCAGGCCGTGCCCTATGTAGTCAGGTTTGTCAGGTCAATCTGGTACCGAGAGGCTTATGTTTGAAACCTTACAGTATACAAATACCGATAGAATATACCTGTATCCCAATGTATATCGATGCAAAATCCTGTAGATACCTCGAAGAAAATGTGATAAAGATATAGAAAAGCGTATTTCATAAAACGTCTTCTGACATGATTAGCAAACCCTTTATATAACTACCGGAAAAAACACGGTCGTCTGATATCACGAAATGAACCACTATCCCTAGTTATCGATATTTACACTGTCGTCTGATATTACGAAATGAACCACCATCCCGACTTATCGATATCTACACTGTCATCTGATATCACGAAATGAACAACAATCCCCAGTTATCGATATCTACACTGTCGTCTAATAAACCACTATCCCCAGTTATCGATATCTACAATGTCGTCTAATAAACCACTATCCCGAGTTATGGAAATCTACACTGTCGTCTGATATCACGGAATAAACCACTATCCCCAGTTATCGATATCTACAATGTCGTCTGATCTACACTGTCGTCTAATAAACCACTATCCCGAGTTATCGATATCTACACTGTCGTCTGATATCACGGAATGAACCACTATCCCCAGTTATCGATAAGTAAAATCCTGTCAGATATCAATACGATGAATCTCTGTATCCGACAGAAATAAATAACATTTTCCTGATATCGATACGATAAACCGCGGTCTCCTGATGTCGATACAATACACAGAGGTTTCCAGATATCGATTTAATACTTATTCTCATATTAATACAACAAACCAGACGTCACGCCGTGGCGCATCAAAAATAGACCACGCTTCCTAGGTATGGTCGGGTATAACAGGTGCACGGGTGTGTCCTGAGATTGACGGGGAGAAATTTCACATCTCCATGTTTATGTATATCAGGTGTTTTTCTCCGGTGTCTGTAATCATATATATATGTACTGAGTGACAATCTAAACGACCAGGGTCAAGGACAGTCGACAAGCAACCGTTCTAGTCTAGATTATAACAACTTTCATTTTTGGAAAAAGACGAAAAATAAAGATGGTAATGTGTTTTCCTTGTTTTCAAATTTACGAGAACAAAGAAAGTAACAGTTTACTCTTACGGTAATATTGTCCTTTACATAGTTACTGCAGGAATACATTGACATTCTTAAGAACACAGCGGCCACATCCTCAAATATTGGCCTCTATGGATAATGTTAGAAATTTCAGGTGTTCACGTATTATGCGTTCCGGAATTCTCGTGTTCAGAAACATTTAGATAAAATGTCGTCATAAGAATCCGATTGACCTTTGCATTGAACTTAACGCGTAAAACGTGAAGCATTTGAAGTCAGTCTAATCCTCGGTACACATGGGAGTTGTAATCCGGCACTCCATAGGTGTTTTTACAAGTACGGGGCACCCGAACGACCGTCACCAGTCAGGAACTGTTGGACGAGTACACCCAACAATGTGTGGAAACATTGCACAAGCAAATTAATATACGATACTAAACACATCGTGAAATTATAATAAGTATCAGTAGAATTCCCTTTAATTTTTTTTAGAGTGTTATCCAATCCACGACATCTAAATTCTACATTTTCTGTAAAGATTTTTTCCTTCCCCCTTACCTCACTATAAAGTACGTATTATTTTCTGGGATGACTGTTTTTATATTGTGTATGATTATGGTTTTATTTTATGACGAGGCTGACGCTGTTCTAAGGAATGCGTTGGGAGCCTCACTGATCATGTGTCCCCATATCTGGGCTACACACCTGGCCGAGATATAGCTGTCTCTAACGTTTGAAGATGAGTAAAAACGAGGAGCATCTCTTAAACTTCAAGGGGATACAAATACGTGCTTTACAAGAGCTATGATAATGACGATAGCGTTTTAATAGAGGCGAGTATAAAAGCATACGTTAGCCGCACAGACTATGACAGGGGTCACCATTGTATTACGTGTAAAGCGGACGGTAGTGCTAACAGGTAGTGGCCAAGGGATGCCTTTCAAAAACAGGCCAGTAAAATATCGATAACATCTGTTATGTAACTGAAAGTCACGAGTGAATTCGTCAGTAGGATTGGACGTTACATTAACTTCAAGTTTACATGTCCGTGTGTTCCATATACCTGTCTGTAAGATTCTCACACCTTCCCAAGTCTGATGTACAAGTTTACATGTCTGTGTGTTCCATATACCTGTCTGTAAGATTCTTACCCCTTCCTAAGTCTGATGTACAAGTTTACATTTCCGTGTGTTCCATATACCTGTCTGTAAGATTCTCACACCTTCCTTAGTCTGATGTACAAGTTTACATGTCGGTGTGTTCCATATACATGTCTGTAAGATTCTCACACCTTCCCAAGTCTGATGTACAAGTTTACATGTCTGTGTGTTCCATATACCTGTCTGTAAGATTCTCACACCTTCCCAAGTCTGATGTACAAGTTTACATGTCCGTGTGTTCCATATATCTGTCTGTAAGATTCTCACACCTTACTAAGTCTGATGTACAAGTTTACATGTCCGTGTGTTCCATATATCTGTCTGTAAGATTCTCCCACCTTACTAAGTCTGATGTACAAGTTTAGATGTCTGTGTGTTCCATATAACTGTCTGTAAGATAGGACGTTAAACAAAATCAAACAAACAAACAAACTGTAAGATTCTCACACCGTACTAAGTCTGATGTACAAGTTTACATGTCTGTGTGTTCCATATAACTGTCTGTAAGATAGGACGTTAAACAAAATCAAACAAACAAACAAACTGTAAGATTCTTACGCCTTCCCAAGTCTGATGTACAAGTTTACATGTCCGTGTATTCCATATACCTGTCTGTAAGATTCTCACACCTTACTAAGTCTGATGTACAAGTTTACATGTCCGTGTATTCCATATACCTGTCTGTAAGATTCTCACACCTTACTAAGTCTGATGTACAAGTTTACATGTCTGTGTGTTCCATATACCTGTCTATAAGATTCTCACAACTTACTAAGTCTGATGTACAAGTTTACATGTCCGTGTGTTCCATATACCTGTCTGTAAGATTCTTACACCCTACTAAGTCTGATGTACCTTTACCGGTTTTTTTGTCAGTATGCAGGAAGCTTTTCTTTCTTTCAAATGATGATATATAATTTGGTTTATTTTCTACCTTATTGCAGCCGGGTATACGAAAAGTCATGTGATTTGTTAATATATATATGCTTAAAAGACAACCCTGGGGTTAAGTTTGTTTATTGGCGGACCATATGCAGAGCATTGGGCTTTATGTAAAGAATCTTATACATGTCGGACTGATTCCATGTCTATGTAACTATGTAACCCCAAATGAGGCCAAAATCTGATTCCCTTTATAGACATTCTTGTCATCGTGACATCGTAAGGCAGATACATTATAGATGAGAACTTAAGATAGACAGCATCCTTGTTGCCAAATAATCACAATGGACGCGTTGTGTAAGAATATGCTATACAATGTATACCCTGTTATATCAGGGTGTACGGGTCTGTGTTCACAAAACTATTCTCATGCTCAAACTCAATGTGTGTGCTCAAACGAACTCTCTTGTAAGCTGTTGATTCTAACAACGGGATCAAAGTGAGTAAGAAATTGCACCTATAGGTATTAAATAACATGACAAGTTAAAAGGCACTTTCTCACTTGAATTAACAGTTGAGGTTGAGCCTACAATTTGAGTTTAAACATCAGCTCGGTTTTATGAATTTGGACATAAACCTTGAGAAACGTCGGTGACGTCACGTCAACAATGTATGCTAGGTCATTACGTAATACATGTAATAATTCTTTATTTTGTGCAAGAATTCAATGAGATTCAAAAGTTAATCTCATCTAATCGATTTCTGTTGTTGATATTGCTACAAATCTGTGTACATTACAGGAGAAAATAGGAGTTCATCATAGTTGTTATATCCATGCGCAATACGAATTGTTCATATATCGGTTATGAACATAACATTTTATGCAAATAACGTTCCAATATTACTGCGTAGAAATTATTCCTTTAATCAATTATGCAGTAATATATATTTTCAAGGGGTTTCCTTTCAAATTAATAATAAAAAAACAACATGAAAGACTCCTTATTTACCTGATTTTACAGAGCAATGGATGTGGCCACGTGATTCATAATACACCCAATCAAATCCAGCCTCAACCGCCAGCCGGGCCAGCAGTCCATATTTGGTGCGATCTCTGTCGCTGGTGGTGATGTCTACAGCCCGACCCTCGTAGTGGAGAGAGTTCTTGGCATGGTGGTCATCTTCGTCCCAAGCTTCTGTCACGCGCAGCTTCACGTTCGGCCACGTGTTCATCACGGACACTGCCAGCGTGTTCAGTTTATCCTTACATCTCTGAAAAAATAGTGCAGTAAAATGTCAGACTCGTATCAATGCGACGTTATATTAATGAACATTACCACGGCACAATCTGTTCTGTAGATGTATTAGTCAGTTAACAAATGGTCGAAATATAGTAAAACTGCCTGACAAGTCAGTTCCTTAGAGGAGATCTATATTTATATACCAGAACTGCCTGTAAGTTTTTGCATAATAAAATGGTTATACATGTATATACTTGTACGTAAACATGCACTAGAACTTTCTCGTAAATCGGTACTTTGTACGTTACTGATACGTTATGGCCTTAAATACTTTTACTGGAACTTTCTGGTTAATCAGTGCATTATATAATGGTCTGTATAATTCAAACTTTCTGTTAAGACAGTGTATTAGACAAAAGTATTTGACAGCTATTTGTTGTCCCTATATGCATGTTAACATATTTTCTAATCAAAACAAGAGCAAAATACAATTAATTTTCTTATTTTCTTTATTAAGTTCTCTGACGTAAATTGGTATGGATTAAACACAGCTTGAACAGACTAAGAGACAGTGGCTAAATTGAATATGTTGGATTTAGTGGTTCCACTACTGCTTTGTTTTGTTGGCCGTTATTTAACAAGTGAAAACGACGTTGGAAGCATATTGAAATGTCGACACTATAAATGAAGCGAATACAAAACACTCACCATAGAACCATGATATTATTTACTAGGAAACAATGAAACTTAATATAGCTGTTCCCAAAATCAACCTGGAATACACCGACTGTCATCTAGGCATCACACAACACCCTTGTTGTTTTGATAAACTATATGTTCGATACTTTGCGACAATAGCATTTATTGTAACGTCCGTTTTAGATATCATGATGTATCTATAGATATACTTGCGGTCTACATCCTTCCTCTTGTATATATGTTACCCTAGTTGGAGTATTTCTATCTCAATAATGTAAAACGCGGATATGATATTTTTTTCTTGTTGAGTAAACCATTCGACAGAACATTCGTGGATCATAAGTTCTGATAACGTTTTAGATAACTCCCATATACACTGTATTATAAATCCAAAGTACAGGGCGTTTAGATCTCCATAATTTACGATTTTTCCTTTATATGTGAAAAAGTCACATGCGCACTAAGCTGTAGTGAGGTGTCTGGAGAGAGTTGACTTTTATACGTCTGCTAGTCTACTAGTGTCGCCCTAAAAAGCGACATTCATTAGACGATATTTGACAGATCCGTTACCTAAAACAAATCGGCGGTGATCCCACACAAAGTCTAAACAAACAGAAAACATTGTAATTGTTGCCCGGCCTCCTACCGCGATGTAGGTAGTTGTGTCCAGTTGACGTTTACGATGACGAGATCGGCGATGATCGGTTTATGGTTGACTGATACTATGGTCCCTAATCAGGCCGTGGACAACGGCGACATTAATGAATTACTGATGGATGGCCGTGCGGTACAATATTAATTGTACTGTGCTACATCGGTCCTAATTACCTCTCGCCGAGTGGCGGAACATCTCGTCCAGACCCATCACCCCGTAAATATTGTTTATTTCCTCCTCTCGTCTTAACATAAACAAATCCTTTACACACAATTTATGTAAACAGACGAAGTGTTAATGCGTATATCAAATAATACTTTCTTTTTAAAATTCAGTCTCCAGTTGAAATTTGTCAATTTTTTTTTATGAAATCCTCCGTTTGCCTGAAAATGCCTCAATTACTCTTTACATTCGCACAGCTGTTGTAAATATGATTGTTTCACGAGTTTGTCATCATAAACCGCAGTTCCTCAACTCCTCATATATTTCATTTCCTGTTAGGCTCGATAAACCGAGAACTTCCTAATTAACGTTGTACAGAGGCGTGATATCAACAGAATATATCGGAATTATAGTAAGATGACTTTAAACTCACTTCTGACACTATTTACGGCCACTGATACCATGCTTTAGGCAAATTTTAATAAAACTTTCTTTATTAGATATGAAAATATAAATACTTTGAACAATATAAACCAGGGATGTATGTCCTGGAGCTGTTTAGCCCTAACTCTTCCAATATTGTTGGTGTAAAAACTGAATTATTAACGAGAGAGCTTACGTGTGATAAATGCTGCCAACATCAAAGCTGTATGTGCCGATTCCCCTGACTTTTGGACTATGTCAGTGATAAATGTTGGTACGACGGGCTTATTGGGATAAACAGAAGTCGCTAGATAAAACAGTGAGTATCCCGGCTCTGACCTACCCAGCTCGATCACGCATCAGACTGAGCAGAAACATTTCTCAAATGTCTTTCACTATTTGTCTGTGAAAAGTTGCCGTAAACACGATCAAAAACGCTTTAACAAAATTGCTTGTTGTAAAAGTGACATTCCCCACACCGGAATGTCTGTGACCCTCACAAGAGATAATGGCGTAACGTAGCCACTTGAGAAAGCTCAGTCCAAAGTGTTCGTTCCCGAATCACCAGGTAACACAAGTGTTTAAAAAAACTTTATAACCCCTATTTACCACGGCTAATGTTGTACGCCGCATGTTTGTGTGGAGGTTCAGTGAGAAGTCGGTATCACAATAAAACAATCACACACTGCACCTACATGTGTCACTGCAATACCATAACCCTAAATCAGGCTGGAACTATGTGTCACTGCAATACCCTAACCCTAAAACAGACCGGAACTGTGTGTCACTGCAATACCCTAACCCTAAAACAGACCGGAACTGTGTGTCACTGCAATACCTTAACCCTGAAACAGACTGGAACTGTGTGTCACTGCAAACACTAACCCTAAATCAGGCCAGAACTGTGTGTCACTGCAATACCATAACCCTAAATCAGGCCGGAACTGTGTGTCACTGCAATACCCTAACCCTAAATCAGGCCGGAACTGTGTGTCACTGCAATACCCTAACCCTAAATCAGACCGGAACTGTGTCACTGCACACCCTAACCCTAAAACAGACCGGAACCATGTGTCACTGCAAACCCTAACCCTAAATCGGAAGTGTGTCGATGCAATACCTCTATCCTAAAATAGGTTGAGACTATATATGTTTCACTCCAGAACCATCTGTCGGACTATACCCTATAGGTTAATGGACTCTGTGGGACTATACCCTATAGGTAAATGGACTCTGTGGGATAATACTCTATAAGTAAACGACGCTGTGGGACTATACCCTATAGGTAACCGGACTATGTGGGATTATATCCGATAGGTAACCGGACTCTGTGGGACTATACCCTATAGGTAACCGGACTATGTGGGACTATGTCCGATAGGTAACCGGACTCTGTGGGACTATACTCTATAGGTAACCGGACTATGTGGGACTATGTCCGATAGGTAACCGGACTCTGTGGGATAATACTCTATAAGTAACCGGTCCCTATGGGACTATACCCTATAGGTAACCGGACTCTGTGGGACTATACCCTGAGGTAAATGGACTCTGTGGGACTATACCCTGAGGTAAATTGACTCTGTGGGACTATACCCGATAGGTAACCGGACTCTGTGGGACTATACCCTATAGGTAAATGGACTCTGTGGGACTATACGCTATAGGAAACCGGATTCTGTGGGACTATACCCTATAGGTAAATGGACTCTGTGGGACTATACCCTATAGGTAAATGGACCCTGTGGGACTATACCCTATAGGTAACCGGACTCTATGGGACTATATCCGATAGGTAACCGGACTCTGTGGGACTATATCCGATAGGTAACCGGACTCTGTGGGTCTATACCCTATAGGTAACCGGACTATGTGGGACTATACCCGATAGGTAACCGGACTATGTGGGACTATACCCTATAGGTGACCGGACTCTGTGGGACTATATCCTATAGGTAACCGGACTATGTTGGACTATACCCTATAGGTAAATGGACCCTGTAGGACTATACCCTATAGGTAACCGGACTCTATGGGACTATATCCGATAGGTAACCGTACTCTGTGGGACTATATCCGATAGGTAACCGGACTCTGTGGGTCTATATCCGATAGGTAACCGGACTCTGTGGGACTATATCCGATAGGTAACCTGACTCTGTGGGACTATACCCTGAGGTAAATGGACTCTGTGGGACTATACCCTGAGGTAAATTGACTCTGTGGGACTATACCCGATAGGTAACCGGACTCTGTGGGACTATACTCTATATGTAACCGGATTATGTGGGACTATGTCCGATAGGTAACCGGACTCTGTGGGATAATACTCTATAAGTAACCGATCCCTATGGGACTATACCCTATAGGTAACCGGACTCTGTGGGACTATACCCGATAGGTAACCGGACTCTGTGGGACTATATCCGATAGGTAACCTGACTCTGTGGGACTATACCCTGAGGTAAATGGACTCTGTGGGACTATACCCGATGGGTAACCGGACTCTGTGGGACTATACCCTATAGGTAACCGGACTATGTGGGACTATACCCTATAGGTAACCGGACTCTATGGGACTATATCCGATAGGTAACCGGACTCTGTGGGACTATATCCGATAGGTAACCGGACTCTGTGGGACTATACCCTGAGGTAAATGGACTCTGTGAGACAATACCCTATAAGTAAACGACTCTGTGGGACTATACCCAATATGTAACCGGGCTCTGTAGGACTATCCCCTATAGGTAACCGGACTCTGTGGGACTATTCCCTATAGGTAACCGGACTATGTGGGACTATACCCTATAGGTAACCGGACTCCGTGGGACTATACCCTATAGGTAACCGGACTCTGTGGGACTATACTCTATAGGTAACCGGACCCTGTGGGACTTTACCCTATAGGTAAATGGACCCTGTGGGACTATACCCTATAGGTAAATGGACTCTGTGGGACTATACCCTATATGTAACCGGGCTCTGTAGGACTATACCCTATAGGTAACCGGACCCTGTAGGACTATACCCTATAGGTAACCGGACTCTGTGGGCCTATACCCTATAGGTAAATGGACCCTGTAGGACTA